CCTAAGTTTCCTTATCTGCAAACTCACCAAAACAACCAGTTTCTTTTTTCCACAGAAATATAAAATGTTAAGAGCTAAAAGAGAGAGCAAAAATTATAGTGTCACCCCAGTAATGAGGAAACTGAAGCTTACCGAGGCCCACAATTTGTATAAAGTCACCCAAGAGCAGTGAGTAAGGCCGAAACTGGGGCCCACATCCCAAGGCCTCTGCTATTCCATCAACACCACAACACAAAGAGACATGAACAGCAAACCATTTTCTTCTTGGACACACTCCTGTTTGAATATTCCCAATTCATCCAATTAGAATAGGGAGGAGCCTCAGTAACTAGTTTATCTCCTGCTAGTTCACTAACACACTGTAGGTGCTGACAGTCGCCAGGAGGACCCCAATTTCTCTTTTCACTAAAAAGGAATTATGTGGCAGCCCAGAGAGCCAACAAGGCCAAAAGGAACTGATGAACAGAAGGTCAATGCAGGACAATTTTTTACTCAGCACAGAAACAAAACACATGCCAACAAAAACTGCCTATAATGGAATGAGCTGCTCTGGAAGACTTCTAAATGCTTTGGGAAATGTGTTCTCATAACCAGGTCAAGACTAGTCGCCTGCTGTAATACACAAGACCAAATAATGCACTGTGGAATAAAGCATCTGGCCTGCAATGCAGAACATGTACCAGGAAAAGAAAAGAGGGACGCAAGGAGACTTGGAAGAACAGTTTGTTTATTAGATAAAGGTTACTCAAAAGGAAGATGGGAAAGAGGAGAATGAGAGAAGTGGATGGATTCAAGAGGTATTCGGGAAGTGAAATCACAGGGAACGGTAACAGATTGGGTTTTGGGAAGGTGTAGGAGAGATGTTACCAAGGATGACTTCTGGTTTTATGACTCACTACTAGATGGATAACAGAGCATTTACTGAGATACAGAATACTAGAAGAAAGATAGATTTGAAGGTCAGAGGTTTGGGTTTTTCGTTTTTGCTTTTCATTCATTCAGTTTGAACCTGCAGAGTTTGAAAAAGAGATGTCAGAGAGGTGAGGACGGGCGGTCAGGAGATACTTTGGCCAGCGATATGAAAGTGTGTCCCCTGCCCACAGGTGGCCATGGGGCTGCACAGCGCAGATCATCCAGGGAACACGTACAGCATGTGACAATGAGAGGACCTGTGACTGAGCCCAGAACCATCCAGGGAATGGCTGAGAGGAGGAGAATGATTATGCAAAACAGACAAGGACACTGAGATGTCAAACAAACAAACAAACAAACACCCACAAAACAGAAGCAGGTGGTCTCAGAAAGCAAACAAGGAGGGTCTTTCTTGGAGACAGGAAAATGTCTGTGGCAATGACTAATGGCGATTTAACTTTTGTGAGAACTGTTTAGTGGGACGATGGGGCCAGAGCCAGAATGCAGTGAGTCTAAGAGGGAAAGATGAGAACCTAACGACAGCTCCTGAGCATTTGCTTGTGATAGGAAGAGAGCAACAGGACAATAACTGGAGGTGAGAAGGTGGAGTGGAGAATAAAACAGGAGTATGTTTGAAAGTTAAAGGAGGGCTGGTGCCGCGGCTCACTAGGCTAATCTTCCACCTGCAGCGCTGGCACCCCGGGTTCTAGTCCCGGTCGGGGCGCCGGATTCTGTCCCGGTTGCCCCTCTTCCAGGCCAGCTCTCTGCTGTGGCCTGGGAGTGCAGTGGAGGATGGCCCAAGTGCTTGGGCCCTGCACCCTCATGGGGGACCAGGAGAAGCACCTGGCTCCTGGCTTCAGATCAGTGCGGTGCGCTGGCCACAGCAGTCATTGGGGGGTGAACCAATGGTAAAGGAAGGCCTTTCTTCTTGTCTATCTCTCTCACTGTCCACTCTGCCTGTCAAAAAAAAAAAAAAAAAAGGAAAGAAAAAAAGAAAAGAAAAGAAAGTAAGTAAGTAAGTAAGTTAAAGGAGGGCAGGAGTTGTGGTATAGTGGGTTAAATCACTACCTGAGATAGATACCAACATCCTATATAGGCTTTGGTTTCATGTTCGGACTGCTCCACTTCCAATTCAGCTCCTTGCTGATGGCCTAGGAAAAGTAGCAGCAGATGGCCCAAGTGGTTGAGTCCCTGCTACCCACATGGGAAATCCAGATGAAGTTCCTGGCTCCTGGCTTCGGCATGGCCCAGCACAGGCCATTGCAGGCATCTGGGGAGCAAACCAGTAGATGGAAAATCTCTCTGTGTCTCTTCTTCTCTCTCTTTGTAACTCTGGACTTTCAAAATAAATGAATAAATCTTTAAAAAAAAAAAAGTCAATGGTAAAAAAAAAAGGGGGGGGGGAGGGAATGGGGAAGGGAGAGGGAGAGGGAGGGAGAGGGAGAGGACAATAGTCCTGAGAGAGGCAACAGAGGATGGGATCTAAGCATGGATGGCAGACCTTAGGAAGAAGGGGAGCCCCCCACACAACAGGCAAGGGGCAGAGACAGAACAGCTACCAACGCAAGGAGACTGCCATAAGCAAGACAAAGGAGTGCCTCCTTGATGGCCCCTCATTTTTTCTGCAAAGCAGGTGACGGACTCCTATTCTGACATAGAAGGGAAGGGATGTGATTTAACAGTACATGTAGGTAAACAGGTCTAATCCATCCCTGTCAACATTCAACCAATTATCTTTTTCACTATTTTATTTGTTAGTTGGCTGCCATCCTTAAGAGAAATAGTCCACCTCCAGCTACCAGTCAGCTTCAATGCAGCAGATTATGCCCTGTCATTTCCTGCTTTCAATCTAATTATAGCGCCACAACAAATGCTGTACTGAGCTCAAACCCCTTGGTATAGGATCCAAGGCCCTTCACAACTTGCAGCCCCAGCCCTTCTACCTTTCTGGTCTCACTGCTGGCCCTTCTGCCATACTCCAGCCACTAGGCGCTAAATGCAATCTCTTAACACGCCAGTGCTCCCTGTCACTACGCTCCGCAGCCCAGGCCACATCTTATTTATCTCTGTGCCTCTGCGCGACTAGACTGCTGGCTGGCACACAGTACATGATCAGCAAGTGCCTGCTGACTGAATGAACAATTGCTCCTGTTACAGTAGTAGGCCATCACCATCTCTGGCAAAGTAATTCCATAGGTTCCAATCAACAGACTAGCTTTCAAATAATTTCAGCTATCCTAACATCCACCCGTTAACCCAGCATTCTCAAGGGCCCAAAAGCTATCCAGTTACAAAATGTGTTGAACGAGACACAACTCTAGAAATATAACCAAGACAGGAAGCATACCACCCATCCTTTCCATCACAGAGCCATAAAAAGAAAACGTCTCTTAGAAGGAAACAAACTACAAGGGACCTTTATCTTCTGGTTCCACCTAGAAAACCAACATTCCACCAGGGAACAGGTGCTCTGTACCTGTTCTTCTACATAAGAAGCGGCCCCATTTACAGCACTACACACTGCAATGGCACATTCAGAGGCTTCAGCGTGATGAAGGATATGGAACTGCTGGCATTCCAACCACCCCCCCCCCCCCCCCATTTGCTCTCTCCCTATTTCTTCTTCACAACTTCTGCTTTGATTTCTACTTCCTGAAGCTGCATTTACCAAAGGCATTCTGTCAGCGCAGAGGGAGAACGGTGGTGGTGGGGCCAGCAGGTCAGTAAGGGTGCTGGGGTTGGGCCTGAACGAAGAGATGGGTAAGATTTGTCGGGACTCTGATACTGGAAGTCAGAGCAAGGACGCGGATCGCCACTGGGAGCCTTTTCCTCCGGTGCCCTCTCCATTCAGTGTCTCTTGTGTTCTTTCTTTCCACCCTCCTTGAAGGGCAGTTCCTAGGCAGGGGGTGGAACAAAGCGTTTCCAGGTCTCTCAGATACGCCATTCAAGACACATCTCTCACCACACAGCACAAGAACAAGACACCATTCCTGCTCCAGACACGTGCCACACGTTGAAACTACAGGGTCACGCTGGGGAAGACCCACAAATACTTAACACTACAGATTCGGAGATGGGATCTGAACGCAAATATCAAAAAGAGGCCAATTAACCTAAAAAGAGAAAAAGACAGGTTGCAACTCATAAAGCCATCCAAAAACGCAGGACAGTCAGAGATCTAAACTCACTTGTTCAAAACTTTAGGTGTCTACCAGTGGGCCAAAGCTCTTAACTTTTTAAACACTAAAACCAACCACAACGCGATGTCAACTTTCCCAATCCTTAAAACAACTGTGTTTTTAGATGGGTTTAAGTGCAAACCCGGAGGGAGACACCTCGGTGGGCAAAGATCCTCCTAGCTCTGACTCACAGCCTGGACCTTTTCAAAGCTGTGCCTTTCAAAACTTCGTCAGTGAAATGGTCAGTCTCCAGCTCCTTTCTGTAGGCTCACGCCCTCCACTCATCTGCAAGTCAACCTCGAGTTCACCTCATAAAAAGAAACGGGGCAAACTTTAGGAAAAAGAGGAATGAATGGGCTGCCTGGCTGTGCTGCAACGGAGTCAGGAGAGTTCTAAGCTTTCAAATATCGCATTCTGGACGCTCTAGATGAACGCTAGGCAAAGACTTTAGGTGCTTTTGGTTCCAGACACGACCTCCAGGAAGGTACAAGGGTTTTGTACACGGGTTTTAGAGATTTGTTCCCTATACACTTATGCAGCTCCAAGGCGCTGATCAGCAAGCTTCCTTGCAACCAGGGGGACCTGACAATCCGATTGCACCGCATGAGAACACGGCCGGATAAAAACAAGGGCTGCTACAGACAGCTCAAAACCACACGCCCCGCAACTTTCACGCCTTCCACTGAACATGCACGACTTTAGACAGAGGTTGAGTGCTCCAAGCTGCACCTGCCAAACCTGCGGGCAACAGACTGCCCAGTGCAGCGAGGTGCTGGCCGAGAGCCCGCGGCGCGGCGTGCGTGGCCCAGGGCGGGGGCAGCAGGAGCAGCCCAAGGAGAGGGCCCCCGAAGGACACAGCGGAGACAGGCACCCCACGGCCCGGCTCCAGGGAGCTGGGACCGCGCGCACCTTCAGAAACTCGTCCTTGTCGAAGCAGAGCGTGTCCGGCCCCTTGGGCAAATTCATCCTACTTTTCTCCATCCCGCAAGCCGCCGCCTCTCAACACCGAGACGCGAGCGAGGCGAAGACTCAGGAGGCTGCGCAGACGGACGCGGAGGCCACCGCCACGAACAGTTTCCACCGCACAGGAGGCTCCGCTTCCGCCAACATGGCAGCGCCCGCGCTGCAGCCAATGAGCTAGGGCGCCGCGGGCCGGTCTGCGCCTGGCCGCCGCCAAGAGAGGCTCGCGGAACGCCGCCGCTGGGCTGTCCTGGACGTGCTGCCCCCGTGCGTCAGAGAGCGGCACTGCAGGGTCCTGCGGGCTCCCGTTAGGCCAGTTCCCAGGGAGGGACAACTGAGCCCTAGAAGGGTGGGGCAGAGGGGCAAGCTGGGCTCCCTCCCTGCCCCATCGTTTCCACTGGGAAAGATCTCCCTGTAGCGCTCTGACAGTGTCTTCTGCCTTGAGATTGCTCCGCTTGGTTATGCAGAGAGCAGTAGCCAAGGCCGACTGTCGGCCCCCTGGTACTCTGGCCCTCATGCCCAGTGGGTCACATCCCCTGAGTCTCATCCCTCCCTGGTGCCTGTGGGCTGGCACTGCTGAAGTTTGGGCACTGAGGCCTCCGGGGTGGGGGCGGGGGTTCCCTGCTGCCCTCCCAGCCTGGGCACCCGTAGGCTCAGTTATAGGGAACCCTTGAGAAGAAGGTGGTCAGCTGGGGAGACCCCTGCTCAACTTTGGGTTCAGCCGCAGAGTGGGCAGCCTCAGAGCACAACCCTGGGTCTCCAGAAGGTTCTTCAATGCTTGCGTTGTCAAAACACAGCAAATGAATTTCAGCATGCGAGTATGCATATTTATTTTTAACCGTAATGAGCAACTTTTGGTGTTGTGACCAGCGGCAGTGCAATCAACCCCTCCCCAATTTTGCACACTGTCTCCTCCTCTCCCCCCGACCCCAGTTTTATCCTGAGAAGTTATTCCTTCTGTCTACCCTTGTTTTTTCTCCTCGTGTCCCTTGCTCTAGCTGTGAATACTGTGGTCTAACGATGATGATTCATTCCGTTTCTTTTCTCTTGGGGCTTCACACCCTTCCCTCCGCAAATCTCTGCTTCCGGTAGTGCTGCTTTTATAAACTGTTCCTTCTGGTGCTGTTTTCTCCATGGAGATACATTAACACCACGCTGGCCTTTAGAAAGCAGTGGGACACAGGCAGGCGATGTTTTAACATGAGACATCTACATTTTAAGTTATCCCACCGAGGAAACTGTTCACTTTTTAAAAGTATGGGCATAGCCTCCGGTGATCACTGGTGTCATACATAAGGATGTTAATTGTTAAATTAACAACAGGAGTTTCTGTGCACTAATTTCCCATGCAAGACCTCAGTCCTCAAAGAGTTGTATTATAATTATGTCTAAGTGCTCGCAAAAGATGTATCATTCTTGGGTGCTTCTGTAAACTTAATTAAGTTTCTAAGAAAAAAAAGTGAAATTAACTTCCAGATGCAATGAATTCTAACAGCCCTTGTCTCAGCTGTTGAGGAACAATTTTGGTTTGTTTTTTGTGCAAATTATTGAACTCTTACACTTATTATAGAACTCTACTTAGTATAGAGTTGGTCTTCTGTGGATAAGGTTAATTGAAATTGAATCTTAATGGAGAATTGGACTGGGAATGGAAGAGGGAAGAGGAGGTGGGGTGGGAGTGTAGGTGGGAGGGCAGGTATGGTGGGAAGAATCACTGTTTTGCTAAAGTTGTACTTATGAAATGCATGAAGTTGTATTCCTTAAATGAAAGGTTTCTTTGGGGAAAAAAACTGTAGGCACAGATTCCAAAGATGTACACTCCCTAGTATTGAACCTGACAAGCCTTGCTGAAGCAGGTTTTCCCTGACGGTGTTAAAACAGATGATGGCTAGGGCTGGTGTGGGCTCAGGCTGTTGCCTTGCACCAAGACAAGCATTCTAAGTGCAGACATGTAGAAGGGGCAAAAGTGGTAAATTTTATTCAAAGGCTGAGAAAGCGGACACACATACACCTGTGAACATGGGTTGCCCCAGGTAGAGAAATACCTGTCATGAGTGGGCAGTGGGCAGGAGGATTGCCCGAAAGGAGGAGAGCTGGGAGAAGGAAGAGAGAAAAGACACCTACACAGTGCCTGCAGCCCCTCCCAGGAGTTGGTTTCTTTTATGAGGTGGGCGTTGCTGCCTTACAGGGGTGAAGCCACCTGGAAGTTGTGTGGCACCTCTACAATTCCACGTGGAACTTAATGTCCCCCACTTAGGTCGATGAAGCAGATGCAACCTGGGGAAAGGGGGCATTTTGATTGACAAATAGGAGGCTAGAATTATATTTGGGGGCTTGCAGTGACTTCCAGGCCAACAGACCTAAACTTCCAAACTCACTCCTTGTTCCACATCAGGACAAGAGCTGGAATCTAGCTGGAGACATTGAAATAAACTGCAGAGGAGCCAAGGTGAAAAGTTACCCTTAGTCCTTATTACTTTTATTTGCATGCAAGGAAGGAAAGCCTCATTTTCTGTTTAATTTTTGTTTATTCTCATAGACATTTTCAGCCATGTACAAAAGTCTGGGGAGCAGGAGGACCCCCCTTAAATTATTGCCTTGTTGGTGACTCACCAATCACCAACCTCATTTGTCCTCGCCCTTCCCCCATGAAACATCCACATTTCTTTGGCTGTTGTTTGAATACATATTAAAGCCAATCCCAAATGTCACATCACTTCCTGTTCCCCAATACCCCAGTTTACATGTAAAGCAAAGACATTTCCTTACTTTTTAAAATTTTTTTAATTTATTTGACAGGTAGAGTTACAGACAGTGAGAGAGACAGAGAGAAAGGTCTTCCTTCCGTTGGTTCACTCCCCAAGTGGCCGCAGTGGACAGCGCTGCGCTGATCTGAAGCCAGGAGCCAGGTGCAGGGGCCCAAGCACTTGAGCCAGCCTCCACTGCCTTCCCAGGCCACAGCAGAGAGCTGGACTGGAAGAGAAGCAACCGGGACTAGAACCCTCTATATGGGTTGCCGGCAGGCAGAGGATTAACTAAGTGAGCCACGGCGCCGGCCCCAAGACATTTCCTTACTTATTTGAGATGCCATCATCACACCTAGCAAAATTAAAAATCCTATTAACCAATCTAGACTGGCTCTGACAGGCCTGGCCTGTAGTCCACAGTCATGCTGTTAACAACCGGCAAGCAGCAAACCCATGTGGCCTAGCTTTAAGCTCCAAGAGAGAGGGAGAGGATGCTGGGCAGATGAGTTGAGGAGTTATGCAGGAAGTCTAGACAAGCTAGAACTTGAACTCTTCCCTTCCTTTGTTGTAATTGCCTTCTGACCTAGTTCCCAGGCCTGTGAACCTAAAGTTGTATGTGCTGATGTGGTAGGCTGAGCTATGCTGAAGGGGTTGGGTGGCCAAGAAGAATGAAGAAATGAGAGCTCCTCTCTGCTCTCCTCCTAAGATTCAGGAGGGAACAACCAGGACCCCACGGAGAGGGCTGCCACTTGGAGCGCTGTGACCGTGGTGCAGTCCGCCACAGCTGAGAGAACCAGGAAAGACCTTGATGCTAGCTGAGGGGCCTAGAGAGGTCAAAAGCAAGAGAGAAAGGAAGCCCAAACCTGTGCAGAGGACCTGGCCCACTGCTTACACTCAGGCCTGACACTCAGTCGGACATAACATGTCAGCCATGCTAACATGTCCAAGGCCTACCCTGGCCTCCGATGATGCAGTCATTAGAAGGTTGATGTGTGGCTCAGCAGGGATGCCCTGGCCAGCTTCCAGTTGGCTAATGCCTTTTCTGTTAAATATTTGTAGATCACCTCTGGTAATGTCAGTTAAAACATATATATAAGGTCTCTCATCAGACAAGACCCAATAAGCGATAATATGTCCTAGTTTTCTTCCTCCCATCATTGATCTATGTTTGTCTTCAGTGTGAGACTTGAAGTTGATACATTTTTCTATCTTTTTAAGTCCCTCTCTTCTATTTCTTAGCTTCATCCTTTCTTATCTGACTTCTTCATAAAGCATGTGCCTGTGATTTCATTTCTAAATTATATTAATCCCCCCCCCTTTGACTCTGCATCTCTGGAAAATTCTTAGTTCCCTATTTTCAGTGGCATGTGACAAGTCCCAGTTTTTCTTCCCACTCTCCCCTATTTATAGGTTTCCCATTTTTGGCAGGTTTGCTCCCAAGCACTCAAAACTTGTGAAATGAGATATTGTGCTCAGGAAATTCATAGGGCCATTTCCTGCAGTAGTCTTCACCGGGTTCTCATTCTGCTCTCTCTGAACTGTTGGACTACAGCACTGAGTGTCCCAACAGCAACCGCAGTGGGCCTTGCTCACTGCCGAAAGAGAGAAGGGTTTCCGTTTCTCAGTGGATCTTGGTGCTCGAACTGAAGGCTGGGTATGCAGTCTGACAGTGGTGTGTCCAGGGAGGGAGGCAGGCCTGGGGCAGGGGGAGCAGGGCAAAGCCTCCGCTGTGACTCAGAAAGCTCACACTGATGAACCAACAGGGCCATTTCAACATCTTCCGTGTTTTATTTATACCCTGCTTCACTCTAGAGTACATTTGAGATGATTTGAAAACTGAACATTTCCTGTCCATGTTAAGGGGTTCCAAATTCCACCCCTTCTCCCTAAACAGTTAGTAGTATTACAGTAGCACCATGTATATTTTATAACAGGCCCCACCAGTTGAAATGGTAGGGACAAGATCTTTTTTGTATTAGCATTAGCAGGAAAATCATGACTTTGAAATGAACCAAAAAGACTTTTGGTGTCTTCCAAGAAACAGGTGTTGTGTAAACTTTCTGCTTTATGTGATTCTATGGGGTGTTCTGTGCCTCTCCTGTCTTTGACTTATTTTACAACTCAGTGAATTATAGAAAGTCATAGCAATGCAAATAATACTTGGTTATCCACATGCAAATAGATTTTGCCCAATGGGGGCAAAATGCTCCTCTGGAAAAGCCCATTTTGCATCTGTTTAGCAAATTCATTTGCATGTTCCTAATTGTGTATGTGTCTGGAGTCTCTCTTGAAGTTGGTGGTACCATTTTACTAATTCCCTAGTTAATTAACAAGTTAAGAAAAATCTTTACAAGTGCTCCTTTTATATTTGTAGAGTGGTTGTAATTTTTTTAAAAGACTATCCCTTAGATGCATTT